TTCCCATGGTGCTCAGTATATAAGGGCCCCTAAGAAGAGCCCTGGGGCCTTTAGTGCTGCTGTGCTGGGGGGTTGCCTACAGGCTGTTTGTCCTCTCTCGCTGTGCTGCTGCTGTTTCTGCCTCCTGTTTTTGTGTGCAGAGGAGCGCCGTTTGTTGGACTAGGTTGTCTCCATCTCCCCCCAATCCAGGTGGGAGCGGCACGGCTTCTTTTCTGATTCTCTTGGGCTGTATTTGGGACTCTGTTCTCGGGTACTCTTGTCTGCTGCTGAGTCTAGTCTGGGACATTTGTCTTCTGCTCAGTACCTAGTCGTCTTCCAGACCGTATGGGTCATGTATTAGTGTATTCGCTTGTATCTTTGAGTATATTTGCATACTTGTGTACATATATGTACATATATGTATATACAGCTTGACATATTCATTGTTACTGTTAGTATTTTTTTTCATTAGACTACCTCAAGTTTTTTTGACCTCAAAGTCTCTCTCCCTGATTCCCACGTTATCCTCCCCTTGGAGGGTGGTGGGAGGATCACAGAGAGCATCTGTCAAAGTTTAGTGGCCAGCCCAGCCTTAAACTTCAGCACCTCCTCTGAACATCATTATGGTGTTAAGGAGGTCAGGAAAGGTATTTAGGGTGAGAAACCTTTGTGAACTTTGCCATACGTGCTATAATCTCACCCTTAGCTGTAAATATTGTTGCTGGCTCTGCTTGCTGTGTGACTGTGCACTTATCACTGCTGTGAGAAGGTGCTCCAGCTGCTGCCCAGGGAATCCAAATTGTTTGGCTCTGATTTTATATGAAAAAGTTTAAGATCTACATGGAAAAGTATCTCAAACATAGAGGCTGGAAGCATGGTCTGTGCTGTGCCTGTAACGTAAGCCAGCAGCAGCGCTCTACGCCCGTGATCAAAACCCCAGATGTGGGGCAGGGCTCTCTCTTCTACAAGACAAGAAGCATGCAGGAAACTGGGCACATGGCCCAAATTATGTTTTTGCCACCAAGTTAGTGCCAGATGCCCTTTGGGATGAAGAAGGAGTGGAAAGGAAAACTGGAGAATGGAAGCTTAAGGGGACACATGGACTTTAGTCAGCTGCTTAACAGTATAAAGTTTCTGGGCTACATTTCTTTAACACCAAACACTATGATGGCTGCTCAGTTATCGGCTATCTTCTGAAAGAAAAAATGAGTGTGTAATTAATCACCCAGGGTGTGAAACTGAAGTGCAGCTAGAGTTTTAATTTCTTTACATGAAACTAAGCAGTCTTTCCTATGTGCTAAGTATCAAGGATTGCAGAAGTTAACTTTATTTATTCAACACTGCTGAAAATGACAGCTATGCTGGCCCTCTGTCACAACTGGATTATGCCAGGGTGCACAGCATGGTGCTTAAGGTCAAAAAAGAAAAGGCAATTCTTGACATGTCCATAGACCATCAGGAGATCTTTAACTTGTAATAAAAACTAAATAGCTGTTGGCAGAAAGATGTAAAAAAAAATTTGAGGGAAGCCGGCAGATGATACAGAAATAAAATTATGGTAATAGCTGTCACTCAATAGATGAGTGGTGAAAATGTGAAGATTTATTGCTGTGTAGATCCCTTTCTGTATAATATAGTGACTGCTGCTTGTATGTCCACATACTGGTTTATGGTTATCATTGGAGGAAAAAGATACTTGACAATGCCATATATACCTGCCCCAAAAGGAAGATATTCAAACCTGTTGTGTTACATGGCCATGCATGTTAAGTGGGAACCTACTTCTGGGATGGCTAAATGATAATTGACGGAATGACCACTTTCAAATATAATAGGTGGATTTTTTTTTTTCCACCGTTGTACTGAAAATGAAAATTACTGGAACAATCCAGTGGGGAACCATGTTTGGATATTCATATTACACAACGCAACAAAAGATGGACTGCCTAAAGAAAGCAGGTTTTACCTTCAGATCTGTATGGGAGCAGAAGTGAGCCACTATAAAAAGAAACAGATGGGAAACTCATGATCTCAGCCGGGACAAGACTGCCCAGTCCCAGATCCCCAGAGACATATTTTTGGCAGCAGGATAAATACCATTTGTCTGTACTACAAAGCAGCCCCCAATGAAAAGGCATCACTATGGTTTTGCTAGCCTCTATCCTTTCATCAGCAAACCTAAACAACACCCTCTTGGGAACCCAGAAGTCTTTTTTGTCTTTTTTTTTCTTTTTTTTTGAGGAACTTCAACACACTGACTGCCTAGTTTGGGATGGTGTACCCACCTTGTGGGCTCTTTTTCCCTGTGCTTCTCATGAGCAAAAATGGCAAACTATTGCTTCCCTTGTGCTGCACTTTGGCAGAAACCTGCCAGACCCTCTGCACCAACAGCAATGGATAGAAGTCCCTTGCAGACACTCGGTGCACCCTGGAACTGCACAAAGTTCTTGGAGAGAAGGGCTAAAGACTCCATGAAACCTATGAGGTCTGGCATTTGGAATGGAGGGGCAACAGCCTTGCCTTGGATTACGTAAAGATATGCCTGTGCCAGAAGCAGGAAGCCCTAGGCTGCCCAGCCTGGTGCACAGATGCTGACAAAATAAAGCTAAATATGTTGAAGATTACAGGCACAAAGAAGATGCTGTTTTGCAGCTTGAGTGTATTATGTGAAACTCTGCAGAATGCCAAGCTGCCAAACTGTTTTACATCCTCCATGGAGTAAAAATGCAGTGAGCTCCATTGCTCCAACACTACCATTGCAAGAACCAGAGGAGTCGTAGTTATCTGGAGGGGGGAAGCACGCCAAAGGATGCATGACCCCAGAACGCAACACTAGCATTTCTACAGCTTTCCTCGCCGCTTTAAGCTTGTGCTGAGAGCTTTACGGACCCTCAGATGCCCTGCGTGACCCTCGCCTTTACCACAACACAGGCTTTAGGACAATTGTGAATCAACCAGTGGACTCTCGCCGCTTTAAGCTTGTGCTGAGAGCTTTATGGACCCTCAGATGCCCTGTACGACCCTCGCCTTTACCACAACACAGGCTCTAGGACAATTGTGAATCAACCAGTGGACCGGATCCCTCCAAGCTGGTGACTATTCAGGTGAGCTGATGAGTGCTGACCATGTTACCGTGTTGGGGTCTTCAGGTCCCAAATCCTACCACTACTTGCAGTTTGGAGGAAAACAGCCGTGGAAGCAAACCAGTACTGTTTCTCATTTTAATTGCAGAAAACCAACAGGAAAACACTTTATCAAGCTTGTAAGTATACAGAGATGCACTTTTTAAAATACTTTTTGTATCCTTTTATTTACAAAAAGAAAAATGAGCCTACAGTTTTAAGTCAAATAAGAAGAACAAGGCTAAAAGTGGAAGAAGAGGCAGAAGAATGTGAGGGCTTTTTAAAAAGATATCTGGAAGACAAACAGAACACATAGGGAGAGCTAATAGCCGGAGTGGCTGCTGATGCCCTTGAATTTGGAACAGCATCTGAAAAACCAACTCTTCTGTCCCTGACTTAATGTGTGATGAAAGAATCCAAAACGGAGCAGTCCTTCAAACCTCAGATGTACTCTGGGAAGTTTAGTAGCCATATTTTTCATTGAGATGAGTCTTGCCATCACCACTTTGACCTAATGGACAAAAAGGAAGAGTTGCATTACTTTTTTCCTCCCTTATCTCAGATAAATGTGCTGCCTGGAGACCATTTCATACTTGGATACACTAGTCAGATAAGCAAAAGAGAATAAAAAGATCAGACTGGATATTACAATTCAAATTGTCTTTTAATTTATATTTAAAAGTCCTCTTAACCTTACTAATAGTGACACAATTACATCTTATATTTCTGGTTTGTTTTGTTTTGTTTTTTTTCTTTCTCCTGGTGTCCTCATTACGGCAGCTTAGAAGGTAAGTCTGATTATTAGCAGGCAGAGACAGAAAAAGGAGCTCCCTCTTAGGGACACAGCTCGCTTGGCTATCCCACATCAGACCTCTGAGTTACTGAATTGGGTATTTTGTTCCAGTGGCTTCTATGCCAGAGAAGTGCAGTCTTTTCACTGAATAATGATTCACCAGATTATAGTTTTCTTCAGTGAAATTTATTCTCATTTTTCTTACTCCCTTTGGAGCCTATCTATAATTATAAGCCTGCAACAGCCTCATAAAAATTATGATCATAGAATCATTCAGGTTGGAAAAGACCTCTAAGATCATCAAATCCATCGGTCAACCCAACACCACCATGACCACTAAACCATGTCCTGAACTGCCACGTCTACATGTTTTTTTTAACTCCTGGAGGGATGGTGACTGCATCACTTCCCTGGGCAGCCTGTTCCAATGCTTTGCCGCTACTGCAGTAAAGAAATTTTTCCTAATATCTGATCTAAACCTCCCCTGGTGCAACTTGAGCCAATTTCCTCTCATCCTATCGCTAATAATGAAACTACCAAATCAAAGCCAAACTTTGAACTTACTATGAAAACCTCTAAGCATGAAAATGAGTTTTCCATTGTAGAGAAACTGAAAATTCATTACACTGTTTAAGAATAGCCTCACTAAGGTAAAAGCACTCTGAAACTCAAGTAAAACATTTGTTCAATTTTAACATATATTAGATGCGTGCATTGATTATTCAGTGCCTTCACCGAAGCACTACCTCTGCAAAACACATGACCCAAAGTTTGTGTTCCAGTGACTTTTTGCAAACATCTGCCATGAAGATTTTCATATTTCACAGACTTCTGTGAAAACTGAGAACACTACGATTGCTGGAGCATTCATCCCTAGAGAAGGTCTGAGCTTGTCTTTACATCGCTATGTGCGAATGGAGCTAGCGCTTCTGGGTGTTAGAAAACTGAAAAGCAAACTTCAGGTGTATCTGTCTGTTGAGGTGAAGCTACTACAGACATGGTCTGTGTATTTCACTGCAAGACTTGCATGGTCATACAACAAATACAGGTCATAACATCCCAGAAAACATCAGGTTCTGGGTAAAATATTCCTGAACTATTTTTCTCAAGAAATTACAAGGACACGATGACTGCTTATTAGGTAGATTCTTGAGTTATAAGACTAAAACCAGTAAGGAAGTGGTTGATACCTGCAGGAGGAATCCATACGCAGTAATCTGGGTCGTCATCTGGGTACTCTGAGGAAAAAAAAGGTTGTTGGACCTGCAGAAGGAAAAAAAGATTTTTAAGGTGCTGCACCCCGCCAGCAATGCATCACTGCCACTAAATGTCTTATGAATTCAGAGACAAATACTGGAAGGTGAAGGTTATTTCCACAAGAGTCAGGGATGAAAACAATACTGAGGAAAGAAGAACTATCAAATCCTCAAAAGGATCCAGTTTATTCCTAGCAGAGTCATAGAATAATAGAAATGCTGGTTAGATGTCACCTCTGGAGGTCTTTCTTTCCAAACAGAACCATTGCCAGCTGTCAGCCTCTGGGAAGTTTAGTCCTGTCATCTTAATGCCTGGTAGTGTCATCTGACACAGATTTCTTTGTGCAGGCAAAAGCTTTAGAGCAGGATTTTCAAAAGACTCTTTACCAAGCTCAACGTGCAATCCCACTGAAAACTTTTGGTTTAAGGTGACTTTCAAACTGCAGTCTATAAAAGGTCAGCTGTTATATAAGAATAACTTAATTTTTCAAGAGAAAAAAAGCACTGCTTTTTTCCAGGCATCAATGAAATGGGTCAACTTGCAATTCAAATGTTGACACAGCAGTGGTTTTTTGTCTCTAGATTTTTAATTTTTGGCACATCAGCATCATTGTTTCAACAACTGCAGATAACTATCAAAAAAATTCATAGAAGTGTGGAGTGCGAGTCTTGTGTGCTCAAAATGTAGCCAAGTTACTCAGCACTGATTTGCATTACTCTGTTATATCACAACAGTCTTTATTTATGCAGTTGAAGCAATTTTTCATTCCCTCAAAAACTTCCCCCCCCACATCAACATCTAAACCAGTTCTTTTGGTAGATTAATGTTTTCCAAAACATTAGACTGCAGAGTTGTTGAAGAGTTTTTAAATATGGCTTGTGAACAGTCACTTTAAAAATGTTTTTTCCAGTTTTATGTGATTCAGAGTTATTCCTCAAATATTAAAAAGAAAAAAAAAAGAGAGCTGACTTCTGGTTGATATTTTCCATGCAAGACCTGAGCCAAAAGGCTGAGAGCATGTGGAAAAAGTGATTTGTGATGGGAGAGAGAATACAGCTAAGCCATCTGGCATTTGGAGAATGCGCAGTGTTAGAGTGAACTCTGTGCTGATGGAGCTGCTGACTTGACTGCCTCAGCATGAGAAGCTGCCTTGTTCTCCCACATTCATAGCAACGGGATAACTTGAGCTTTGACAGAAAAAATCCACCCTTGCTTGCTTTATCAATGTGCTTTATAGACCAGTGACAAAGGACAGTTCTAAAGGCTGTGGCTGCCCAATCCTTGGGTCCTTTGCCAAGACTAACAAGGCAGTAGGGAGTTAATTTCAAGTAAGTGGTGCGGGGCTAAAATTAGATGGCCACCACAAAGGAATGGTCATGATGATGTTCAGGACTCACAGCCCACCAACTAATTTTCTTTGATGGCAGTCAGCAGAAGGGTGGGATGCACCCTTAAGGGAAAAACTTCACAATAATCATTAGGCTAAGTGTACACTGTCAGAGAAGTTCCTTCCCAGCTCCAGGAAGGCAACAACTTTCTGCACCCCAAAAGGCGCAAGCCTTGTATATTTTACATTTTAATGCAAACTGTACGCACAGGAGGAACATTATGTGGCACATCCGCTCAAATTTAGTAATAATTTGGTTGCAAAGGACAATAATGTCTTGCTCATCTCTTTCCACATCTTGCAGAGAAGGATGGTTTGATAACGGCAATACAGACAGGCTACAACTTTAGGACAGCACGTTCTGGGTCAGCCAACATGTGCTTCCCAAGCTACTCTCCCAGGAAAGTTTTGCCGAGCAGAGAGCACTTGTGTTCTACAGCACTTGAGACACAGGAGAAGAGGAGGCATTTAGCAGAGACTAACTGCAAACTGAAAAGGTAAAAAAAATAAATTTGTGATTGAATTGAGAACCTTTATCGTGATTGGAATTTTGTGCTTTACCTTTTCCCTGGAGACTCCAAGATCTCTGCCCAATAGCAGGGCTTCTACATTTGGGTCTTAGTCAGCAGAAAAGCATTACTATCACCAAGTCATACTCAATCAAGCTGTTACTTTTTCACTTAAAAAATGAGTCTACTAAATTATTTCCTGAAGCTCTTAAGCTACAGGATTCACGGTGTCACAACTGACCTTGCTTGAGCTATTGATTTTCTTAGCTTTCTCAGATGTCTCTTCAGGTTCCTTACAAGCCGCCTCAGATGCTGGGAAGAAAGAACATTTGTTTTATGATACATCTCAAATGACCAATCCTATTAGAAAAAATAGAGGGAGATCACATAATAAATGGATACATCCAAGGAAATCCAAGTCAGCTCACTGCAACAAAATTCATACTTAAGACATCATTCTGATTTTCGCAGATTTAGTAACTTGTGCTTAAACTGTCAGTCACCTTCCCTGAATTCACTTAATAAGGTCCTCTAACTGGGATTCTGTAAAATACTTTAGTTAGAGGCAGATGTTCATTTTCTAAGACGTATACTCTATCTATAATCACTGCAGATTGATTTAGAAGGAAACAGTAAGAAATGTGCAGGAGGAACATGCTTTTATTTTTAAAAAATAACTTTACACATAACATAAATGAGAGGAATACAAAAGAACTATATGCCTTGTTCTTCTCCCACTTAATCTGTGAAATATTGAGAGTTGTGGCTCAAGTCTATGGATGAGATGAGGAGGATGGGACAACTTTCTTAAGATCCTGAATTATGAAAAAATCCAGAAAATTCATACAGATCTCCTCCACGTTCAGTACACCGAAAATCTTAATTTTGAGGATCTAATGTTTTTGGAGTGTACATATAAAGCGATTATTGTGTTGTTAACAGATTATTAGCTAATATTATAATAGAATCATAGAATGGCCTAAGCTGGAAGGGACCTTAGAGATCACTTTAATCCAGCCTCCCTGCCGCCAGGGACGCCACCTCTCGACTAGATCAGGCAACACGTTATGAAGTATTTGTCACTTTATGAAAGAAAGTTCTGTCCTGTAGTCTTAAAAGCTACTGCAAGAGAATAAGGGGAAAAAAATATTATGTTTATGCTCCTAAATTAAAATAATTTTACTACTCTTCTCATGCTATTTTTTAAAAATACAAGGATCACAAAACAGTTAATGACTATGAAAAGCAAGAAGAAGTGGTGGAGTTGCCATCCCTGGAGGTGTTCAAAACACATGTAGATGTGGCACTTCAGGACAGGGTTTAAAGGTCATAGTAATGTTGGATTGATGTTTGGACTTTATGATCTTAGAGGTCTTTTCCAACCTTAATGATTCTATGACTCTAAGAATCGAAACATGGTTGAAGTGACCTGTCTTCATCATACACTTACCACTTTTGAAGCAAAACACAATCATTCATGATAATTCTAGATTTTTTAAGCTCTAGATCAGGCTTAGTTTCCTTCTACTGACAGAAGATAATTGGTCCCTTAGACAGTTCCTAAATCCACGTGCTACTATATAATCAGTCTAAACTGTAGTGCTCACCTTGAGATTTCTCTTGTGAGGGCCCTATCTGAGATTTATTCCGTAGTATCTTTGGCTCAGGCAGAAAATGAGCCCCTGTTAAAAAAAAAGGAGAGCCAGGTGAGCACTCTGAGTAACTCTGATGGGCAGAGTGAGACTTCCTGAGACAAAGTAAAAAAAAACGAAACTCTTTGTTGCATTTGTCTCAGGAAGAACTCTTCTGTCAGAAGTCCTCCAAATTATTTCATCCACCAAGCCCATCATAATACAATATTAAAGAAAAACTTGTGATTAGTTAAAACAGACATTTCCAGAGCAACCTGTCCCGCATTAAGACAATGAGTTAGAATTACGTTTCTGTCATCAAATGCATCATTTCCTGAGAAACATCACTAATGAGTTTTCAAATGTATCAAACTGATAGATGAAAGGAGGGACTGAAGATAAACCATACAGATGAAAGGAAGATACCTCTCCATTACCACTTTAAAAATTATTTTTTCCTCCTTTCAAATGGATCTGAAGCTTTACATAGACTATCTTTCCTTATCAAGTCACTCGCCCTGCCAAGAACACATTGTAGTTGTTTTCACAGACAATCTAATGAAAGCAGGGCTTATCAAAATAGGACCTCTCTTGAGTCCAGATTTCTTCTATTTCACCAAAAGCATGAGTAACTGCCTGCTGAGCAGAGTTTCAACAGGAACCACGTAAAACTCGGTTACTGGCACACAGGCTCTGGGCTCATGGGAAAAAATCTATGGAAAAGAAGTCTGCTGGAGAACTGTGACTCAAAATTTAGCAGATTCCCACAGCTCTGAAAAATTCAGCAGTTAAGACACTCAGCTTCACAACTGGAAAAATCAAACCAAATGGTTTACCATCCTGCAGGGATTCTAGATTCTTGTTATTGCAGGGAGAACCATTGGGAGCATTAGTTTCTTCTCCTGTTTCTTCCTCTGTTGTCATTTTCGTTTCCAGGTTTGATGCTTTGCTCTTTATTGCATCTACTTCTTGCTCCTCCTCCATTTCTTCCTCTTCTTCCTCCTCCTCTGGTTCATCATCTTTCATTTTTAACAACCTTTCAGGGATGTCTGGACGCTTAACAGGCAACTTCTGTGGGATAAAGACTTGTGCATCAGTGCTAAGAAAAAAAGAGCTAGAGATCATAGATATTCATTATAGGAGAAAACACAGGTCACGGAGACAGCTGGTAAGGAAATGCTCTCAGGATGAAGAATGGTTAAGTTTTACGGAAAAGTTCTTAGTAGAAATGGAAGATGAAAAAAAAAAATTCATCCAGGGCTTGGTGCCTATGTGCTCTTTCCATGTACGCGAGAAGACACGGTTGCCACCTACAGTCTCCAGAGCCTGAGAGGGTGTCTGAGAAAGAGCCTCTGACTTGTAGCAGTTAAAAGTCCAACTTACCCCTAGGCTTCCAGTTTTCAGCTTGAATTTGCTCCCTCCTTTCATTGCACCAAAGAGAGGCAGTGTAATCTTTTTAGGCTTGTTCTCTGCTTCCAGACTGTAACTCCCACTCCTAATAAAAATTAGATACAAAGGAAAACAATGTACAAAGTATCAAACAAGTCTTACATTCACAAATACAAAAAAAAAATCTGCAAATTAGAAGTGGATAGATAAAAATCCTTTTATTTCTCTCTCACTTGCAGCATCCAAGGAGGAAGCTGCAGAACACGACTCCTCTATTCCACCTACATGTTCTAGGATTCAGGCACTTGCCATAATAGGAAGTACAAAATTAAGTAAACAAGGAAAAGAAAAAATCTATATCATAGAATCATAGAATGTGTTGGGCTGGAAGGGACCTTTAAAGGTCATCTAGTCCCACACCCCTGCAGTGAGCAGGGACATCTTGAACTAGATCAGGTTACTCAGACTCCCTCAAATTCAATTGCACACACATAGTTACATATATACATATATATATATAAACACATACTCAGAGGCTGAACCTCAGTTTAAGTAATTAAACTTCTAGTCAACCTGCCACTACTGAACAATGAACCCAGCACACGCCCCCTTGAATTGCAGTAGCGTGACTTCCAGGTGCATTTCATGGAGTGAAAGTGGTTTTCATGTTGTACACAATACCTGTAAAAATTCTTCAGTGCCCTTCGGATGCAGGTTGGGAAAATTAAAAAATGCTGACACCGTGCTTCCGATCCCTTCCCCCTCTCACCCTCCCAGTGTGAGCTTGTCTTTCTCCAGGGTTGCGGTGCATCTGCCGCAACCACAGACTGCGATGGAGTGATGAGCCTGGTGGGCTGGAAGCGCCTTCCTGCTTTTGTGTTTGGAAAGCTGTCTCCTGACTGTGCCTGCACAACTGCCCACAATAACAACAAAAGGTAACTGTAAATACGCTTTAGCTGAGACTTACTGGGGCTTCAGCTCAGGCAGTTCTGCAGGCTTGACAAGCTTTATTAACCCTTTCAATCTCTGTTGCTCTTTCTTCAGTTCAAATGACCGCAGGTGAAGCTTCTTCCGTGCCACACCGTCTAAGCTGCATCCTGATTTTATTTCGGTCATGAATTCATCCAAGGAATCTTGAGCTGCTGGCTGGGACTGGACTAGGCAAGATAAAGGGAAGACACATATTGTTATGGGTGGGGAGATGAGAGCTGTACTCATCAAGTCCTAGCTTTGGAAAATAAGGTATATAGGAACAACTCTCTGCAAGTTTCTGTTGAATGATGAAATAATGGAGGTTATTAGCCCTGGAAAGATGAAAGCATTCTTCCTAACAACAGATGAAGTGAACTTTAATCCTGACAGTAACCTTACGTAACAAAGCCTCTCTTAAAACTAAATGTTTCTTTATGAGTAAGTGTCTCTAGTCTGGGTTGTTCGTCTCACTTCAAGATCTGCTGTCCCTAAAAAGGTGGCTTACAGGTTCTTTTTGTAGTCATTAGACTAAACCATACACAGCTACAAAGAATCCCACGCCACTGCACGGGGAATTCTGTTTTGGCTTTCCTGAAAGTTTTATGTAGTAATAAGCTTGAAATGAATCGACATACAATGCTGCCTCCTACCCCTGGGTGATGGAACACATACAAGAATAATATCATTTAAATTTGACTAGATTTGCTAAGAAAACACACTGGTCTGTACTCGAAAAAGAGTAACACGTGCCTTTCTACTCTGCCCGATTTCAAATATTAATAATTCTACTCATATTTGACTAATTAAAATAAAACTCAGGAGGAAAAAAACCTAAGCTCTAACTACCAAGAAAAACAAATAGAGAATTTTAAGACATGCATTTCAAATAACCAAACAAGAAACCCCAGGAAAACTCCTTTCTTGCATCTGAACAATCCTTCAAAAGTTTTTATATCGTGTTCAAAAATAACTTGGGGGCAAACAAAGAAAAATGTTGTTGCTAGACTTTTAACAAGCCTTTTGACAGGCAGTCTTCTGCCTTTTAATATTAAATGAAAAGTGGCAAATCCGATATTTATTTGCTGCGTTATAAGCATTTAAGTGTATATGCACAAGCATAATTATCTGAGTTATTTTCAGTTCAGCTTAAGCTAATGAAGTAGCACTTGAAATTTTAAATGTGTACAAATAAAATAGCAAAAGTTATTGTTAAGAATACATACTCAAGCAGTTTTACATTACTTAAATATTTAGAGAAAATTCTAATCCTCGTTTTTACAAATGGAATCAATTGAAAACGATATTTCTGATCTAGAACAAAACATGGTTTACAATTTGCAAATAGATGAAAGCCACAATGGCAATTCTTGAAAGATATACAGAATTAAGAGGCTTCAGAAGATAAGAAACAGTTATAGCATCCACCTCCACACAAATACAAATGATGACAAAACATGTCAGAAAAGAAATTCTAGTAGAAATACTCTTATTTTTTTTCATAACTATTTATAGGAACCAAGACAAAAAACATAAATTAAAGGGTATTGTTAACAAACAGCCTGAAGCTCCTTGCAGACAGAAGCTGAGCAGAATGATTGTTTAAATTCAACACCAGATTTCAAAGATCCAGTTTAGTGCCGAGTCAGATAATTCAGAGCAATTAAAGGTATAGTTGCACAACTTGCTGCTTTAGCTGCAGAACAATGTAAGTGTTTCAGTCAAGGAGTGATAACTGAGTGAACCAGATCACCTCTTCTTGCAAAGATGATTCTCTGCTTGATTCCACCAACGGTGCATAAGATCAGGTAATTCAGCTTAGAGGTTTACTGTTAGCATTCGGTATCTGTCACAATAGTTTTCTACACTATTGAACTAAAATTTGACATTGCTAGGAGGCGAATCAATCATGGCTATTATACTTTATATACCAGTGAAAAAAGCTAGGGTGCTATTTACTGCACCATCACCTTATTGATAACTTTCTTCTGAACAGGCAACCAAAGAGGAGACCGAAGAGCTCGATGTATTTGATTTTCATTCAGCTGCATCAGTGAACCAGAGATACCAAGTCAGTCCATCAGTAATTAGTTCTGAAAAACTCCCAAGAAAAATTTGTGAACTTCTGCTGCAATCTTTTGGACACCCACTTAATTTCTCTAAGCGCTTGGTAAGAAATGTTGCAATTTAGCCTGTCCTTCACTCATTGGTCTCTCTACACTCTTGCCTTGAGGCTACAAATAATCATTTAGAGCAAGTAATAGTACATTAAGGCTTCAGAACTGTATGTAATGCAGCAGACAGCTCATGGCAGTGGTTAAGATTCACCCGTGATCGATACACATCCTCCTGGCTTACACTTGTACTCAATAGCTGTGATTAACCTGAAGCATCCAAAGAAACAAGGACCTAAATACACGCACACACAGAGTAACCAATGATGCAGTATTTGCTATGTTTCATTCTGGCCTAGTTCTAGGAAATTCTCATCCAATACTGAATTACTCTGTATTGCAATAAGTGCCAAGACTGCAGTTTTCCAAGGCTCTTAATTAGCTGCATAACCAGTTACAATTTACCAAACCATGATAACGTCTCAAAATTATATAGTGTTGGTAGAAGCCTATAAATGAACTGATTCTTCTTCTTCCCAGCCTCCACTACAATATCATTAAACTGTTAAGAAACAGTATCAGCAGAAGAAAAGGCATCATAACATATGAAAGCCTGGAACTAGCACATCTTGACAATACAAAGCACTAACTTCTCTTGCTAGTCAATCGCTAACGACTTGCTGGAACAGTCAGGCCGAAAACAATTCCTTCAAACACACTGAACTGACCCACCAGTTAGGAATGGTCGGTGGAACAGTGCTGTTTTCTGAACAGTGATCTGGTATAATCAATCACCAACAAAAACGTTGACACAAATGAGTTTTGGTGTGGCACTGATTTACTAGAAAGAAACATACCCATGTAACGCATAAGAGACAGCCCAGCTCTCAAGATTGCTGCAAGGCTTCTCGGAGAGAAACTCTTCAAACTTGACATCCCAAGCTTTATTAATGCCAACTCTGCTGAAAAGGTTTTTGTATGAAGAACCAGCCTAAACTAATTTCCTTCGTGCCTGCCTTTTATTCCACAAGATATCACCAGCAGCAGAAAGCAAAATGCAGCTATTTGTGTAGCACGCTTTTAAATCTAACTCACCACCAGATACAATCACCACTTTGGAAAGGCTCTGCCCTCCTACACAAAGGCATAATCCTACGAGACCAACAGCACCCTCATGAGCTGGCAACTTCACTGAACATACGGGCTAAGCATCAACTGCTTCAACTCCATATTTCTCTTTTCCCACCTTTCAGTTTTAAGGTGCACTTACAAAGAGAGAAGTGAAATAAAAGATACTATTTTCTGTTAGTTGTTTGCTCTTCCTTTTTATAAATGGTTTTGTCAGGAGTTGAAAAAAAGTTTTCCTTAAATTGGGTCCATTTCACTAATAAGGGCAGATAAACAGTAATAATGCTCATCCTCTTCAGCTCCAGGAACTTGTACATTCACCTCCTTACCTTAACTTAGATGTTGCTTGCTTTGGAGAAAGCTGAATTTGTTAGCAAGTGATTATACACACAGAGTACATAAACTATTGGATGAAGAGGATAAGTATCCTGTACAGCGAACTCAGTGACATGCAAGTCTTCCCACTGCTTTATGAAAAGCACAGGCTAAAAAACCCCAAAAAACGCACTTAAGACAGAAATCTGTAAGATACATTTTCATCTCCTTATTTTTCTTTATGGAAAGCCTTGAGATCAAACAAATTTCATGCCTCACCTTTCCCCGAAGCCTTCAGCTTCTCTGTTATCTCAGAAAGCTCCTTTTCAGCTTCGTTTAGCTTGGTGACCTATGAAAGAGCAACATGCTTAGAAGAGCTTTTTACCTGCTTTAAATCCCCTTTTAGGAGTTATTCAAGTATCCTATCAAATTACCTCTATTTATTTACTCCTGATCTTTGACCAGGATTTTCTGGTCTGAAAAAAAGTCAGTCTAGATTGCTCCTAAAAAATCTTATCAGTCCTTTCACACACTGTTCAAATAATTTTTCTGAAACATAAAAAAAAAATGCATAATGCTTCTGCGAAAATGTTTTGCCACCACTGTGATCGCCCAACCCTCCCTATCCCTACTACACAGAGAAAAGCAAGGTAGTACATTTCCAGGAGCATAAAGTAAGCAAAATTTTCAGCTATTTATAGATATTGTCTGCAAATCAAAAATCCACTATTTTATTCTAACTTGGCCAGTTGAGAGCTAAACATCTGAAATAACATCAAAGTTCAAGCTAACAGTGAAACATCCGGAAATATTTTTTATTTTCCTTCTTAGTAATAATACGCATGAGAGAAAAAGCCTGACATGTCATAATAATTCTTCTTACCAGGGAGTCATAAGTCTCTGGTTTTTCTTCTATTTTACCAGCTTTTCTCATTCGGTTCAGTCGTTTCTTTTCTACAGCACCAGTACGATCAAGGAAGGTGTCATCATCACTGTCATAAAAATCCTCGTCTTCCCAGTTCTTTGATTTCCTTTTTCGGGACACTGGGAAGGGTAAGGAAGAAGGCGAGAAAAAAATTATTTGCGTACCACTGAGCAGTAAAACCAGTTAAGAGATGGCAACCACAACTCCCAGATTTAGGGCTTTTAAAACGTTCACAGCATTTGACTTGGTTATTCACCTGCTTCTTGCCTCAGCACTCCTCGAGCATCGAGTAGCCTGCAAGCTTCCAGCGCACACTGGACCATCGCTTCCTTCTTCTTCCCTGAATGGAGAACCTCTGCCACCAGCTGCTTCCCTGATGCATCATCCACAGGCAACCTGCTCAGTTTGAAGGGTCAGAGAACAGCTCAGATAGGAACATCTTTTCACAGATGCTACTTAGATATTTTATTTATCATTTCACTCGAGTCTTCTTTTGCACATTAAGTATTTTCACTTTTCGTTTCATACGGTACCAACCAAAACAGAAGCATCGATTTCCTAAAGCATGCAGGTAAAATTTTATTTCATTAGTCCAGATAATAATTCCATTGGGAATACAAGAAGTTAAAACGTTGAATATCAACCTTCGAATCATTTTAAGCACCAGTATCTTGCATCCATACAACACCAGTAACAAGTATTTTCCATGCTGAAGCAAATGTTTCCTAAGCAGTACAATCACTGCAATATTGTACCTGTCCATTTGAGACCTATCCCCTTGACTTAGTTTCCACAAGAGGTTAACGTGTACGAACCCATTGAAACCCACCTTATACCATAAAAGAATGGAAACTGGGTTCCCAGTAGAATGAATGATTTTTTCCCCCCTCTCCCATTACAGACTGAAAGATACTGTTTCCTAGCGTTCTCTCGTGTTTCAACCTCCCATACTTCTCAAAACAAGAACTGAAAGAACTTAAATTCTTGCTTTTCCAATTTTCATCTCTAAGGAAAACCTAACACTGCCAGACCAGAAAGGAGAGCAGACACTGAACTAGGCATTAATCCTTGAACTTTTGTCTCAGTATCAGGGCTTAGGTCTAACTCTAGCTGGCCTATTTGCCAAGTGTGACAAGACAAGTAATTCCTTCAGCTTTTTTTTGTGAATTTGTTGAAGTTGGCTTTTAAGTGCAAAAGTGAACGGAGATATACATACTTGATCCTGCACAGCCAGCTATTGTGCCCACGGTCATCATATTCATATTCTAACTCTTCTCCTAAAGAGGAAAAGGAAATTGATGTAGTAACCAAAATTGAAATAAGCAGGAATAATCTTTATAGCAGAGAAGAATGTCACAGTTAAAAAAAGAGGCTGAATCAAAAGGCTGAATCTGCTACCTTTTTTTCGGTTGTTATTAAAAACATGGGATCTTCAGTTAGTATTATTCTCATTTGGCTGTTTTTCACAATCAGGGCTTTTTTCAGATTATGAACAAATAAATAAACAAGTCTCTAAGTGACCTGTTCAGGAACATGTAGTTCAAAGAAAAAACAATATTGTCTCTCTATGTATTAAAGCAAATGACACTGAAGTAATGACAGTTTGCAGTCTGGATTCACAGATTTTGTTTAACTTGAAGAATAATTTTTTGCTTTAGCAAGTAAGTGTGTCATTTGTAAGTTTTGCTTAGAGCAATTCATTACTGCCTTTTGCCTTTCCCTGCTTTCCAACTCTATCTCACAATCATAGTAATCTCCAAATACAATAGTGTGGAATTTGATGGGTTTGGATTTTTGAGCATGGCTTCAAAGCACGGCTGGAGTGTAACTCCAGAGGGATACAAGGTACTCTCTGCAACACTTAGTTTAGGAATTGGTAACTAAGTTTCAGACTTACAATGGTGAGCTAAGTTTTAATAAAATAAAAAAACCTACAACCACCAGTCCCCCACGAAGTGACCAAACAGAAACCCTTACCTACACAGTAATAGAAAAGTTTAGCTCCCACATCTTAATTCCCAAAGAAAAACATGAGCACAGATATCACACTTTGCTAAATAAGAAAAAACTTGCAATTAAAAAAAAGAAAAAAATATACCTTCTCTGTCAAAAAAGCCTTGTAAGGCCTTCCGAGGATCTTTCATGTAGAAGGCATCTTGAACATTCTGAAAATCAATAGCAATAGGGTTTTCTTCAACGTCATCCTCCTCAGCATCCTCCCCTAGAAGACAAAGTGCAAAAAACCACCACCCAATGAAACATTAGAAAGAGAACACCAGTATATTACAACTTTCTTTAGTTTAAAAGAATTGGCAGCTACATCATCCTAAAATTACGTCCCTGAACTTAACATTATTTCTGCATCCAAACAAATAAACCCTGCTTCTTTTTTCCTATTAGTTATGCCATCATAGGTTAGTGTTGCAGATGAACGTCACTGCCGTTTCAGCACTTTCAAGGGTTTCTGTGCTTATACATTTCCATTCACAAAACCAACTACTTTTGTACTGAAAAGCTCAATAATTACACTAGGCATCCAAGCTGGAAGTTCAATCCTAGTACTCGCTGAAAACTGGCTTAAAAGACCTTCCAAAGTGTATCAGCTGATTTCTACATCATCACTTACCCATTCCCCACGAGCAGCTCATATCAGTGTTCTGACTCCTCTCATGTCTCTCCTCTTTCTCGTCTTCCTCATCAGAGTCCTCTCCCAACATTGTCTTTTCTAATTTTGCTTGCTGCTGCTTTCGCAGTGCCTTCAGCTGAGTCACAGTTAGTTCCGACTCTGACTCTTGGTCCTCTTTGGGTCCCTACATCACAAACAGTAACTGAGCAAAAGTGTTTTTTAAAAGAAAAAACAAAAGAGCATTTTCAACACACATGCAGGTTATGTGTAATAACATACACAAATTGCTATAGTGCTCTTCAAAATGGTCTAATAATTCACATTTGTTGTGATCTGCATTATTCCAAAATAGGTTAGTTTGTGCCCTTTCCAAAGTGGGTAAAAAAAAAAAAAGAAACGAGCATTATTGTGTAGTCGTAATCAGATCAATCTCAAATGCAGCTATTTTAAAGGCAAAAATTTCTGTCAGTGCCATATGGGAGAATTTGAGGAATGAGCAGCTTTTGAGGCGTGGGTAGGGCACACTGAGTACTTTCCAAGTTCCTACTAATAAAAGGTCCCCTGGTTGACAAGAAAGTATTAGTGCTTTACCTTCCTGAGGCATCACACCACAGAATCACACAGAATCACAGAATGTTAGGGATTGGAAGGGACCGCGAAAGATCATCTAGTCCAATCCCCCTGCCGGAGCAGGAACACCTAGACGATGTTACACAGGAAGGCATCCAGGCGGGTTTTGAATGTCTCCAGAGAAGGAGACTCCACAACCTCCCTGGCCAGCCTGTTCCGGTGCTCTGTCACTCTTACTGAGAAGAAGTTTCTTCTCAAATTTAGGTGGAACCTCTTGTGTTCCAGTTTAAACCCATTACCCCTCGTCCTACCATCGGTTGTCACCGAGAAGAGCCTGGCTCCATCCTTGTGATACTCACTCCTTACATATTTATAAACACTAATGAGGTCACCCCTCAGTCTCCTCTTCTCCAAACTAAAGAGACCCAGCTCCTTCAGCCTTTCCTCATAAGGGAGATGCTCCACTCCCTTCATCATCTTGGTTGCTCTATGCTGGACTCTCTCCAGCAGTTCCTTATCCTTCTTAAACTGAGGGGCCCAGAACTGGACACAATATTCCAGATGTGGCCTCACCAGGGCAGAGCAGAGAGGAAGGAGAACCTCTCGTGACCTACTAACCACCCCGCTTCTAAAACACCGCTGGAGACAAACGCCTTTCACACTCGCTGCACATCGGCAGAAGCTGCCCTCGCCTCTTCTCACTGCGAGCCCTCAGCGGAGCCGCTCTGTGCCTGGCACTAGGGGTGATGATGCAGTGGGGAGACCCCAGGGCCCTGCTCCCTCCTGCAGTCCCGAACCTCACCGCAGAGCCGGCAGCGGATCACAGAATCACTGAATGCTGGGGGCTGGAAGGGACACCTGGAGATCATCTAGCCCAACCCCCTCACCAGAGCAGGCTGCACAAGCTGGTGTCCAGGCGGGTTCTGAATGTCTCCAGA